TTTGAAGTGTGATGAGCTGTATGAAGCCGACAGAATGATAATGTGCTGGATGTGGATACTGCGGGAAGGTGTCAGTGGGGTGGGACTGCTCTAGCCAGGTGGCCTCTGGGCTGAGCAACCTGGGGAAGAACTAGCCTTGTGAAGGAGTAAGGGAAGGGCCTTCTCATCGAGGGAACAGTGAGGGCAACTTATCATCTTGTGCTTTTCCCACTGGGTCCTCAAGTAGCCAGAGCCTGAGGTGTAATGCAAATTCTAAGCTTCCCTACGTGACTCTAAGGCTCATGACCAGGGGGTTTATTAGGAAGGACCAAAAGAGTGTGCCTAAGTATAAGGGGACATCAAGGACAACTCAGTGAGGAAGGGGAGAGAAGAGGCACATGCATGCTTTTATAAGAAGTTATGCACTCGGGTAGAATGACTATTTTGTTTTCCTCTTAAGATTTAAAAGAAGCTACTCTTAAAACTGGACGTGAAATCTAAAACAACAAAAAATGACCCTAAATTTTAAGGGGATTTAATTGAAACTTGCACTCATCCTACTTGGCCGCTAGAGAGCAGTATTGCCTATCAAATGCACCACGAGGCCCACGCTGCAGGCTGACATTTAGAGGGAGAAACTCAGTGCCACAGGTTCATCTCTTCTCCCATCTTCATTTCCCACTCCTCCCCGACCCTCCTCATAATTCCACCCCTTACCTTCCTACTGTTTACCTATCACACACAAAATCTCAGTGTTCTGGATAAGCCTTACGTTTAGAGAAAATCTCTCGTTTTTTTTTTTTTAGACGGAGTCTCACTTTGTTGCGGTGGCGCAATCTCAGCTCACTGCAACCTCCGCCTGCCGGGTTCAAGCGATTCTCCTGCCTCAGCCTCCCGAGTAGCCGGGACTACAGGCGCCGCCACCACGCCCAGCTAAGTTTTGTATTTTTAGTAGAGACGGGGTTTCACCGTATTAGCCAGGATGGTCTTGATCTCTTGACCTCGTAATCTGCCCACCTTGGCCTCCCAAAGTGCTGGGATTACAGGCGTGAGGCATCGCACCTGGCCTAAATCTCTGATTTTTTAGCAAAGAGTAAAATCAGCACATTTAACCATGTTGGAAGTATTTTGACTCTTCCCTCAGCTGGGGACTCTCAGTGGCCAACGATCGGGGTCTAGGTAGCCTTTGGAGCAGTGGTGGGTTCCTTTTTCCCAGTTCTTCAGAATTAGACCGTTATTTGGGGGAATGGGTTCACGTTTGTAGCCTGGAGAGCAAGGAATGTTGTTCCTTCCATGTGTTGTTCGATCGACCGTCCGCTGGTAGGTTGGTGGCAGCAGAGACCTCCTCTGCCTGAGCCGGCCTCAGTGGGCGCCAGGACCTTGCTTCCTTCTTCCTCAGCAGCTCAAGCTCCGCTTCCTGAGGGGAAGTCTTGTGTTCTGTGTGTCAGGGCCTTTTCTGAAACAGTTTGCAAAAGAATGGGTTCACGAAAAGAAAAAGGAGGAGAAAGAGGTGACAGAATTTTAGCCATAGCCACACAGGCAGAGCAAAAGAAAGAATTTCAAATATGGTGTAAGAATAAATCCCAAAAAAGGTAGGAATTTATAATATGGACCCTGCTTTCTTCCATAGAAAGATTTGAGGCATGCTACAGCAAAAATACACATCAAAAACACACATCGCTTGGAACATAATTTATTCATCCACATTATATTTACTGCTCTACTTTCCTGTGCTAGGAGCTAGGTGTATACCTGAACAAGATGGACATAGACCCTGCTCCTATGCAGCTTCTATTGGAAATGAGTAAGGTTACAAATGAAATCAGAAATCATACAAGAAAACTTGTGAGTGTCAGGGTGGTTCAGAGCTGGAAGGAAACTTAAAATGATCATCTCCAACATTTTTTATCTTATAGATGAGGAAATGGTGGCTCAGAAATATTGTAACTGATCCAGAGATGAAACAATGTTTTCATTTGAGCATGAAAATTTGCTCTGAGGAAATAGGAAAATACCTATTACCTGGGTTTCCTGGCTTTTTCGGACCTTGATTAAGAGAGAATAGTCAGGGAAAGGAAACTTCTTTGGGGGGGGATGCTAATTTATGAAAAAAATGGTCATATGGATCCTTACATCACAGACCTGAAGAGACAATGAAACATTCTTAATATGACTATAGAAAATCATTAGGCCTTCATGAAATTGAGCTATATAGTATTGTGTTGTATTTTAGTGAAGAGATTTCTGTATGGGTTTAAACTACTGCACAGTTCAAGACTGTAACATCGTTTAATCTAACTTGACATAAGAATGTAACCAAAAAAATCTGGAAAAATGTTTAACTATTTTAAAGTCCAGCACTGAGCAGCCACCCAGCCAATATGATGACTGAAACTCTCTTCAGATGAAACCACTGCCTCCGCCCAGCTGTCTGGTACAGTCAGCTCCTTTTTTAAAGCATGTTTTGGGGTCCTAAATTATCTGTGTAGTTGTCTCAGTAGAAGGGAATACTGACAAGAAAAACAGACAGGGATGTTTGAATATGTTGCTTCTTACTTTTATTAGAACATGAACTCCTAGAGCTGGGATTGTATCTTGGATTTTTGGTTCCGCTGGTAGCACACTGTGCTCAATAAAAATTAATCCATCAATCAACAGGACAGAAAATCACATCCTGCCAGAAGCAATACCTCCTGTTTGTCCCATATAAAGCCAATTAGAGTGTTAGGATGTTGTAATGGAGACAGAAACTAAGGAAAGCAGCAAAAAATAAAAAATAAAAAAATAAAAAAAATCCCCCAAAACATCAAATAGAAAATGTAACTGGAAAAAAACAGGTAACGATGGGACGCCACTACCCAATTCCATTTTCCCCTTGACACTCTCTTTCAGCTTATCCTCAGTGTAATAAAAGTTTGACTGCAGAGTGGCATCTTGGACTGCCCACATTTCCTCGTCAGGGTTGGGCAGGGGAAGCCGTCCACCTTCCTAACAGCTCACCCGGAGGGCACCCACTGAGGTGCTCCCAGCAGTCTTGCCATCTACCTGACCTCCCCACCAGGGCACCAGCTCTTGAGTTCTCCTTGCTCAGCTTGGCTTGGTTAGAAAACAAGAAGGACAGTTCATCTGGGAAGGGATAAATAGGCAGCTGGCAGGAGAGAGCAAGCTAGCTACTACCCATAAGAGAGGGTGGGGGTGGGAAGGAAAGTGAGACAGGCAAATTGGGAATTCTTTGTGTCATGAACCCTCTTGAGAATTGATTAAAAGCTACCAAGGCTTTCTCTAGAACGCAAACATACGTATATGTGCACACAATTTTGCATTCATTTCGTGAACCCCCACCTCACTTTCACACAAACACACCTCTTGTTCTAAAAACATAAACTCTAGAAGCTATAAGTTTCCAAATCTTACTAACCAAGAAATTCTGAAAAAATTTTTAATCATGGCAACTTTTTAATATTAAGGATTCTCCAATTGTAGTCTTATATATTTCAAATATAATCAGTTTCAAAAGCAATTCCTAAAACACTAAAAATGGTCAAAATGGACACTTATGGTAAAAAATACTTATCAATGTTTCTTCTTATGTTGCAAAGCATACTGTATTTCAAGTTTCTACATATGCATTTACATAAAACTATTATTATTTTTTAAGACGGAGTTTTGCTCTTGTTGCCCAGGCTGGAGTGCTATGGCGTGATCTCGGCTCACCACAACCTCCGCCTCCAGGGTTCAAGTGATTCTCCTGCCTCAGCCTCCCAAGTAGCTGGAATTACAGGCACCTGCCACCACACCTGGCTAATTTTTGTATTTTTAGTAGAGATGGAGTTTCACCATGTTGGCCGAGCTGGACTTGAACTCCTGACTTCAGGTGGTCCACCCACTTCGGCCTCCCAAAGTGCTGGTATTACAGGCATGAGCCACCGCGCCCGGCCTATTAGTTTTGTTTAAAAGAAAAAAGACTTCCAAATCTTGGACGGTGGTTGGGTGGTGGGGGTGTCAAATCATCTGGTATTTGACTATTCAGGGCTCTTTTGGGGCAATAAAAAGCCCAAAAGTAAACAAAACAGTTTTGTCCATCTACCAGGCTCATACACTCTGTGTCCTGAAAGGAGGGGGAACATCTCTAAGTTCAACTAAAAATATGCTAACTGCAGGCTGAGCGCGGTTGCCCGCGCCTGTAATCCTAGCCCTTTGGGAGGCTGAGGAGGGCAGATTGCTTGAGCTGCAGAGTTCGATACCGGCCTGGACAACACAGCAAGACCCATCTCTAAAAAAAAAAAAAAGAAAGAAAAAAATGCTAACTGCAAATTGCACATTCTGCAAATGGTTCAGCATAGGAACAGGAGGCTGTTTCTGATCTCTTCTTGAAGGTAAGTCCAGGGCCTTTGGCTTATCTTCTTTTCGAAGACCGTACAGGAAGAGGTTTTCAAACAAGGATGGCGCAAGAAGGCAGCGGCGCTTGGACCACCTGCAGGCAAAGACATAGGGGAAACCCCACCTGGCCTCACAGCATGTGGGAGAGCAGAAGGGCAGAGATAACCGCTGGCAGAGGGAACATGTGGGAGGAAGTAAGGGGAAATCAATAAAACAGAGATACAAAAAATAATGTGCTTTCCATGCCATGAAGGAAAGTCATGATGAAGGCCCAAGTTAACTCCCCAAATGCTTTCAGGGATCACAGAAATGACACTGTCAAATACAACATTAGTTTTCTGAAGCCTACAGGCTGAATTTTATTTATTTAAAGTTAACTCCCATTTAAAAAGATAGCATATTCTACATCAAAGGGAAAAAAACTTTTCCTAATGTATCCATTTCTCTTCTGAAGCACACGAGCTGTCGCTATATAATGCTTTGTGGCGTTTTCTCAGCTGTGCTTGCTTTTCTCTGTATCAGGAAATGCACAGTAAACAGGCTCAAGCCTGGGTCTGCTGCTTCTCAATGCCAAACTGGCAATCGCTTGACTGTGTGTGTTTTTAAACGCATTGTTGTTAGTTTTTTTTTTTTTTTTTTGAGTTCATTACAACTTCTTAAGAATTTCACCAACAGCCTATACAGTACAAGTTCAAAAAAGTAAACATGTTAAGGTAAACAGATAACTCTTCAGAAGCCCAGACACATTTTCTTGCCATATTTATGTTGAAATTCTCCATCTACAATGAGCAGTCGTGAAGATGGTCTTCTTCAGGGCAACATGGTCGCAGGACTGGGGCAATCCAGGGGACTGAGAGGGAGCATGAGGACGGGAGAGGGGGCTACCTCTTGCTATTTCACATTAGAGACAAACTGTAACACAGTCCATGGGCCTGCAATCGTCCCCTTTTATCATCTGGCATAACGCTTGATGTAGTCATCCACTTTATTCCGGAAGTCCTCCTTGTCCCGCAAATGATGTTCTGCAGCTTCAATATTCAGTGGATCATCAAAATTCAAAAGATCAGTAAACGAAGAGTTTAATCCCCAAATGACATCCTTTAATGTTCTTGTGGGAGCCCAGCCACTGCCATCCATTGAATGTTCTCTCAGTAAACTCAGACATATTTCCCCTGTCTCTGTGATGTTGGGGTGCCAGATCTTGGTCAGGTATTTCACTTTGGGAGGCACCATGTTGTACGCATCGGGAACTTCAGTTTCAAACTGAAATTTTCCACCCTGGTAGTAACCCTCATCTGGGGTTACTGTTAGCTGAAAACAATGAAGCTTATTTGGATCAGGAAAATGCACTTTACATGTACAAGGTAAATTAGCTTCAAGTTCTGCAATCTCTTTAACAAGCAATTTGTCTGTCACAGAAACCCTCCGAGTCGTGTCGGACGCTGTGGCTGCTGTCCGGGACCCTTTGAGACCATCGTCACCCTTCAGTTTGCTTGCTAGCATTAGCATTACTGCTGCCTTTACCCTGGCATCCCCGAGACAGGCGAGGCAGGTCCGGTGCCCAACACCATGCCCCGCCCGGGCGGCTGCTGTGAGACGTGGCCCTCACAGCCGCTGCACTGTTAGTTTTAACTAAGATTTATATATGTTCCATGAATGATGTTTCAAAGCGGGAGAGAAAAAGAGGATTAGGCATCGCTATGAAATCAGTTCTTGGTAAATTGTGTAAAAGTGAAAACCATAAGCTGTCAAGAGAATTGGACTGGGGTGGCTTTTGGGGAATGATTCAGGTTTCTGTGGTGACTATTTTGTTCTCCTTGGAAGTTCAGTTGGTGGTTTCCTGGGTCTGATAAAAATTTCACCGCCTGGTGAAGATAAGCACTAGCTGTCTACCAGCTTTCTGGATTTGGTTTCCTGGCTGTGAGAAGAAACTAAAATTACTGGCTTTCTGAATTGCTGGCCTTCTGGTTGTTCTCCAAATATACTTCGCTCATTTCTGAGTCTGAGTGCTAGTTAGCTTGAACTGGTTAGTTCTTTTCTGAGTGTAGAGAAGTCAATTTTAGTGTAAACACAGTGGATAAGACCATGGACTCGGCAGTGGGATGGCCTGGATTAACTCCCTGGTCTGCCATTTACTGGCCCATGTCTCAGTTTCCCCATCTGAAAATGGGGATAATATGATTATCTACCCGACAGGGGTGTTAGGAGCAAATAAGTAATAGGTAAAAGTTATTTAGAATAGTACCTGGTACATAGTGAATTCTTTATTTTAGAGTGTTTGCAATGATGATTGTTGTAGTTGTTATTTTTCTGGTGACCTCATTACAGTTTTTTTCTCTGGGGAGCTGATCTTGTTCTGATATGGCTCAGATGGAGCTGACCTCACCTGCTTCTGTTCTGTGGGTGGACACATAGCCCAGACCTGGCCAATCAATGAATTCTCTCCTCCCAGCTACAGTGATTGCCTCAGGGATAGGAACATGATATAAATTGGTCCAATCAGGGGATCACAGGAGTGTGTTTAGAACTATTGAGAAAGAGAGCTTATCTTTTGTGTTGGGGTGGTTAGGAAGTAGGATGTAAGCCAGAAGATGCGAGGGGCTACTGTGTGCAGTCAGGCTGAGACTGAAACCAGTGTAGAGGAAGGCAGAGCCAGGTGATGAAGGGAGAAAGAGGAATCAACTGAAATTGTGGGACCCCATGGCTCTAGCCATGCCCGAAGCCCTAGGACCACTCTTTCTGCACAAGTCCCTTTGTGTTGAGTTTCTCTCCTTGGCTGTCACTAACTCAGGCTCCCCTATGACACAGTCTATCTCCTCGACCCATTCATATGCACCCCGTCCTTCGAGGCACCGCACAAAGCTCACCCCTTCTGGAAATGATGCTTCCTTTTCTAAGTTCCCACAGTACCTACCCTCTGGGCCATCAATCTAGTACTTATTATTCACTTTAGAAAGTATGCCTTTGCCAATGCAGCTATGGCATCTCTTCGGTGCTACAGGATCGACTCTGTGTTTTACTGTTTGGTGATCTCCATAGCCACCTGCACATCTGGCATTTTACAGCAAGCTTGCCAGTATTTATTATTTTAATTCCTTCTATCCACGTATATCCATCAGAAGGGGATTAAATACCTCGGTACACAAATAAATGTAAGCATAGGAGTACATGAAGTCAACTGAAGATGGGCAAACAAAGTTATATTGTTCATGTAGGTGGCTTTCAAGGGGAGAGCCCAGCTCCTTGTCACATGTGAGAAGCAGCAGTAGGTTGTGGACTTGTTTATATTTCTCCCATCAGGTTGTAGGTTAAATAAGAGCAAGGACTAGCTCTATTTTTTGAAAACTGTCCTTAGTGCTTGGCTCAGTACGTGGCACATTGTATATGCTCAATAAACACTGGCTGAGTGAATGCTGCATGTTGCAGTACAGGGGGCTTCCATTAATAACTAACCCTTACCAACAGGTAAAGGAAATGAACTAAGAAAAGAATTGCCAGTTCTGTGAAGCCAACACCTTCTTTCCATTATTCTGAGCTCTTTCTACTATCACCTCATTTCTCCAAATTACAATAAATTAAGGCATTCCCAAGGATGACAGATGAAGTGTAATGACAATAGTATGTTTGGAATTTCCAGGTCTGTAAGAAAATTGGTATGAATTCCAGATCCAACAAGGAAAGGCTTCTGATCTTCAGAATGAGTGAGCGAAGGAATATGAAAGTTGAATTACAGGTTTATAAAAAGGTATTGTATTAAAATGTTCCTTATATACACAAAAAATTCTGGGTTTGGATCAGTCTTTCTTGGTATCATTATACAGCATCAGTTCTATAGAAGCTTTAGGTACTATAAACTGAAGAAAATACATGCCACTTTTCCTTTAAACTAGTTGATTTTCTCCCATAGAAAGTATGACTATATTAGTTATTCCTTTTCCCAACACAGTATTTTTAATTCATCCTTTATTATTAACATGTCAAAATTATCATCCTAAAAGCTCATTTTATTAGGTCAATAGTCCTGAAAATATTGTTGCTCCTTCACCATAAAATGCAAGCTAAATCAGACAGCCAAGGCCTTCAATAATTTGACCCCAATCTACCTTTTCATAGCTGAACTTTTCCCCTATCCCCCATACAGGCCTCTAATCCATTTACCTTTGTCTATTTACTGTCTCTCTCACTTGATTCATACCTTTGTTCTTCTGAATCTTTCTGCCTATTCAAACGTGTGTTTCAAGTAACATTCTTTAATCACTCCAACTAGAGGTAGGCTGTAGCGTGTGTGGCCTGCAGCACTAGTTCCTCGTGTTGTCTTAGCATTTTGTGTGAATGTGTTCTATGTCTTTTACTATAAACTTTTTAAAGGCAGGGATCACTCTTTAGATTTACCGATACTATTCTTTCTTTCTTTTCTTTTGAGACGGGGTCTCACTCTGTTGCCCAGGCTGGAGTGCAGTGGTACAATCATGGCTCACTGCAGCCTCAACCTCCCTGAGCTCAGGTGATCCTCCCAACTCAGCCTCCTGAGTAGCTGGGACTACAGGTGTGTGCCACCATGCCCAGTTAATTTTTCTGTATTTTTGGTAGAGACGGGTTTTCAACATGTGGCCCAGGCTGGTCTCAAACTCCTGGGCTGAAGCACTCCACCTGCCTCGGCTTCCCAAAGTGCTTGGATTATAGGTGTGAGTCACTGTGCCTGGCTCCTCTTTGCATTTTTCTTTACATATAAATTATTTCTACAATTATTATGGCAATAAGTCTGGTATTACATAGCTAAGGATTTTCACTGTTCATGTCTGGGGAGGTTTTGCCTTTTCTCAGGCAGTAATGCCAAGTGCAATGAAGTTTTCAAATTTATAAATATCCTTCATGATTAAAGTTAATCAAAATTGCTTTCCAAATTTTCTGTTTCACAAAGCTCTTAATCAGCTGAGAGCTTTGCAAATCAATAAGCAAAAGACAAAATACCTAACAGAAAATTGGGAATGGGATCTTTATAACTTAATTGCTACTAAAGTATGACAAGATGCCAATCTTTACTTAAAATTAAAGGTGAGAAAATAAAAAATGAGATTCCATCTTTCCACTTTGAGACTGATGAAAATTTTTAAAATTTAAAATTGCCAGTTAACAGTGTGGGGAAAGGTGTAGGGAACTAGGAACCTACATACACTGTCGGTAGGAGTACAAATTTGGTATAATGACTTTGGAGGGCTATTTAGCAATATACCTGAAAATTTAAAATTCACCTAATCTGACCAGGTGTGGTGGCGCATGTCTGTAATCCCAGCATTTTGAGAGGTCAAGGTGGGCAGATCACCTGAGGTCAGGAGTTCAAGACCATCCTGGCCAACATGGTGAAAACCCGTCTCTACTAAAAAACACAAAAATTAGGTAGGCCCGGTGACAGACGCCTGTAATCTCAGCTACTCAGAAGGCTGAGGCAGGGAGAACTGCTTGAACCCAGGAGGTGGAGCTGCAGTGAGCTGAGCTTGCACCACTGCACTCCAGCCTGGGCAACAGAGTGAGACTCTATCTCAAAATAAACATAAATAAAAAGTAATTTAATAAAATAAAATAAAATAAAATTTACCTAATCTTAGATTGAAGAAGTCTACTTTTGGGAATATATATATATGTGTGTGTGTGTGTGTGTGTGTATATAATTATTTAAATGCATACATATATGTATATGTAAAAAGATGTCCATTGTGGTAGTATATATAATAGCAAAAGACCACCTAATGCTCTTCAGTAGGGGATTAACCCGAGGTTAAGCAGCAGCTGTGGTGGGACCAGGATTTGAATCCAGGCAAGCTAACTTCACATTTACAAATGTAACGCTTTACTGCTGTCAACTGAACTAGGGCCATTGTCTTAGAAGGTTAAAATGCTCTATTAAACGCTGTTCTGGGTTTTGGCCAGAAGGAAGAGTAGTTAGAAATATGTCATAAACATTACTAAAGTCATGAAACCAGTCAGAAACAGAGACACGATTAGAATTCCCATGTTCTTGAGTCTCAATCTAGAAAGCACCCTGCTATTTCTCATCTCAGTTTTGAGTTGACACATTTAACTTAGTTGCATGTCTGTAAAAAAAAAAAGTTCTAAAGAATCTTTCAAGGTGTTCTGCTAGCTGCTCTGTTTTGAAGTATATCTGATGCATGATTTATATATTAGATTAATTAAAAACACGTCCATTACTTCGGGGCCTTTGGTGGATTTTTAAAGGAAGCATATGACATATTCGACCCAGCAGTGAAGATTCTCCACAGGTCTCCCGCGGGCGTGGGCGGGTGGGAACCGGCGGAGTGTCCGGCCTCCATCTTTGGCACCGAGAAAGACAAAGTCAGCTGTTCATTTTACTTCAAAGTTGGAGCATGTCGTCATGGAGACAGGTGCTCTCGGTTGCACAGTAAACCGACGTTTAGCCAGACCATTGCCCTCTTGAACATTTCCCGTAACCCTCAAAACTCTTCCCAGTCGGCCGACGGCTTGCGCTGTGCCGTGAGCGGTGTTGAGATGCAGCAACACTGTGATGAATGCTTTGAGGAGATTTGTACAGAAATGGAGGAGAAGTATGGGGAAGCTGAGGAGACGAACGTCTGTGACAAGCTGGGAGGGAGACCACGTGGTGGGGAACGTGCACGGCAAGTTTGGCCGTGAGGCAGATGCGGAAAAGGCTGTGACTGACTTGAACAACCGTTGGTTTAACGGACAGCCGAGCCACGCCGAGCCCTCCCCTGAGACGGACTTCAGAGAGGCCTGCCGCCGTCAGGATGAGACCGGAGAATGCTCCCGGGGCGGCTCCTGCGGCTTCGTGTATTTGAAGCCCATTTCCGGAGAGCCGCGGCGGGAGCTGTACGGGCGGCGTCGCAAGAAGCGTAGATCAAGATGCCGATCCCGGGAGCGTCGTTCTGGGTCTAGAGACCGTGGTCGTGGCGGTGGCGGTGGCCCAGGCCGCGGCGGCGGGAGCGTGACAGGAGGCGGTCGAGAGGTCGTGAAGGATCTGGGCGATTCTGAGCCATCCCATTTTTACCTTATGTCTGCTAGAAAGTGTTGCTAGAAAGTGTAGCAGTTCATAAGGGGATTTTTTAAACAACCACCACCACCACCACCACCACCACCACAACCACAACACCACAAAGATCGGTTTCTGAATAAAATTTGTAGTGATAACAGTAAAACAACAACAACAACAACAAAAGATTCTCCATAAATAGTGGAGGGTGCCTCACTAATCCCGGCACTTTGGGCGGCTGAGGCGGGTGGATCACGAGGTCAGGAGATCGAGACCATCCTGGCTAACACGATGAAACCCCGTCTCTACTAAAAATAGAAAAAAATAGCCAGGCGTGGTGGCGGGCGCCTGTAGTCCCAGCTACTCAAGAGGCCGAGGCGGGAGAATCGCTTGAACCTGGGAGGCGGAGGTTGCAGTAGGCCGAGATCGCACCACTGCACTCCAGCCTGGGAGACAAAGAGAGACTCCGTCTCAAAAAAAAAAAAAAAAAAAAAAAAACTCCATAAATAGGGATGGCTCACCTTTTGATGCCAGATCAAAAAGATGCTCTGAGTGGTGGGAGGGTGGGAGGAGAGTGAGGGATGAGAAATTGCTTAGTACATACAAGGTACACTATTTGGGTGATGGCTATGCTAACAGCCCAGCCCTCACCACTATGCAGTATGTCCATGTAACAAAACTGTCCTTATACCCACTAAATCTAGAATTTAAAAAAAAGCTCTGAGGAGATAAGTAGACTTGACCTCTCTAACTCAAGATGCAGAAACAGAGCTACCACAGTCTTGCTTCCATTCCTTATGGCTCAAAACTTCAAACTTCTTTTGCAAAGTTGCTTTTGCAAGCAACTGATTCTTCTCCTGCCAGGCTTGAGTTATTAAACTTCCATTACATTTAGACAAAATGCAGTTCTCAAAATAGGATGCAAACACAAGCGCCAATGTGCCTAGTAAACCGAAGGAAGAAAGAATGATTGAAAGTACAAAGATCTTTCAAAATCAACACTGGGTACAACAGATTCATGATTCCTTTTAGAAGTTAGCTCTGGAAGGGGCACTAGATGGATAGAACACAAAAAGGTTCATTTCTGTCTCCCTGACTCTGTTTTATAATTGAGTTTTAGGACTTGCCAAAAATATTCTAGGGTTTGGAAGAGAAAAAGGTAAAAAGGTTGCAAGAGTGCAAGATTTCAAGAGTCATCTTTGAAAGCTAGGCTAATATATCAACCTGGATTAGTCTGCCAAAAAAACGAAAATATAAAAACATTATAAATTAGTCACATGTCCATGACTGTAATCTGTTTGCCTGATGCCAGATGTACTTATGATAGGAAAAACAGGTGGCTTAAAAATAGCTTAAAAATAGCTAGAAAATGTTAAGTACTTATATAACACATTTTTTTGTTTTAGGTATCAAATGGGTTGTTATCTTATTAGGGTTTCCAGTAAAAGAAGTGCCTATGATTTAACTTGGACCAATGGTAAGTTTTCCCATTTTAATATTTCAGTGTTCATTTATGGAACTATAATACCATGTAGTACAAATCCGTTATTAAATCAATGCATTCATTATCTGAAATAAAAGTTTTATTCAATCACTGTATTTTGATAGATTAGACTATCGCACACAGGCAGGAGATAATGGATTGAAGAGAGTGTCCTTGAAGAGGAGGAGCTCACGCCTCCTTTCTTATACAGTCTCAGGAGACAGTCCATTTCTGACACCATCAAGATTTCAGACGGCTGGCAAGGACTATGAGCCAGCCCTATGTGGTATAACAAATCAGCACATGAACGAGCTAACCATGTAACTAGTGAGAGAAAGAAAATGAAATCACTTCTGCTTAAAATCTCTCGATGTCGTCTTTTAACCTATTAAGGTGATCGGCTCAGGTGGCTTTATGGCGACCCAGTCATGTGTATGGTAAGGAGTCACTAGAAGCCATCATCAAAGTTAGTAAATCTATTTCTGCTCTCTGCAAGCTTTACTCACGTAGATTGATCTGCACATCTCTCTTACTGCCCAACAATTAGGGAAAGAGCAGGAGGTGCTCTGAGGAGAGGGAGGAGAAAGAATACGAGACCTACTAGGCAGATATGCACAAACAACACAGATTCAGAAAAAAGATGCTAATTGGTATTTTTACATTGGTATGCAAGAGGGAAATCAAGGCTCATTTAAAAAAATACTCACTTTCTGGGCCAGGCACGGTGGCTCATGCCTGTAATCCCAGCACTTTGGGAGGCCGAGGCAGGTGGATCAAGAAGTCAGGAGTTCAAGACCAGCCTGGCCAAGATGGGGAAACCCTGTCTCTACTAAAAATACAAAAATTAGCTGGACATGGTGGCAGGCACCTGCAATCCCAGTTACTCGGGAGGATGAGGCAGAGAATTGCTTGAACCCAGGGGGTGGAGGTTGCAGAGAGCAGAGATCATGCCACTGCATTCCAGCCTGGGCAACAGAGCGAGACTCCATCTCAAAAACAAACAAACAAACAAACAAAAAAACACAAAACAAAACCTCACTTTCCTGTAACTACCTACAACTTTGTGCACTGATTGGGTCTTCTTACATACTTTTGTGTTTTGGATGCTGGAATAGTCATCAGCATAGACTAATTTTGATACTGATGATCTCTAAATTCTTCTGGCAAGAGGGCATGGTTAATAAAAGTTAAAAAAACAAAACTGATTCATATATATGTGTGTATATGTGTATATATACACACATATATATAATGTTTAGAATCAAAAATCAAATATGTATTTGTGTACTCTAAGAGAAAACCTTGTTAGTTAAATATTGATATGAGGGTCTGTCACTTAGTGGCAAAAATTCTTCAAATTTCAAATCTTAAAGATCTCTTCCTCAATTGTGGGTTTCTCGCAATCGTGTGCTGGATGCCTACACTACCACAAAGATCTCTGGGAAATGCTCTTTGGCAGCTGAACTTGGAAATTATGATGAAAAAACACTCACTAGCACAAGTTGTGTAAAAAGATGGTGATGCTACTTTCAGAAAATTTAATAGCTGTTTGCATTTATTTATACACATAAGTGCCATCACCATATTAATATAAACTGTTTCTATTAAAAGTCGAAGGAAGTGAAAAAGAGAAGCGGGAGATTCCTAGAGAAAAAAGAGAAGCACAGAATCAGCAGCCTCTACCTTCCCAAACCATTTCAAAAATCACCCTACCCATCAGGAGGATTTAAAATTTTCCCACTTTATAAAAGGAAGGGAAATAATTCTCGATTGGAGAGAAGGGACCTTATGAACAAGCCATTACATTGTTTCCCCACTTTTCAACGTATGAGTAAAGAGGACAAGACATAGCTACCCACCTTCTGAAGCAAGGCAGGCCTGAGGTTGCACTAGCTTCATGTCCAGGTCACAGTCAGTGTCGCATCTACCGTGCCTTCTGCTCGCAGCTCGGATGCAGTTCTGCATCTGATGCATTGGATGGCAGGTGATGGCTTTTTCCGGGTATAGTATCAGAGTGATTTATGAGAAAGGAGTCACAAACGGGTTGAGTCTTGCAGTGCACAGTGTCTTCATACCCTTGACTAAAAATGCTAACAAGGGGGAACTTTGCAGGGCTCTAAAACAGCTCTCAGTCGTACTGTAGTATATACAGTGCTCCCCGCTTTGGCCTGGCATTAAGATCCTTTTGAAAGGCCAGGCAAGGTGGCTCATGCTTGTAATCCCAGCACTTTGGGAGGCTGAGGTGGGGAGATCACCTGAGGTCGGGAGTTCGAGGCCAGCCTCACTGTTTTTTTCATATGAAAGGAGGCATTCACATCAATGAGAGCTTTGTGGGCACTGGGGTCAGAAAACAGGCAGCCGTACAAGGCAGCAGGTACCCGTTTCCATTCCTAACTAGGCTAGTCAGTTGAAATGCCCAATATATGTACCTTTAAATCCCTTACTTAGGCTTTGAATGATTGCAAAAACCAAGTTTTGTTTACGAATTTAGTTTTCCTGTTTTCTCAGTGCTAGGGAAGGAGCACTTTCTTCTCTTTCTACTGATAATGAGGCTCAGCTCTTGACAATGTAAACTCTGTAAGAAACTCTAGAATTTTGACACATTGTTGTATTCACTCATTAAGCAACAAAGCCCCTTTCCCAAATAAATAGACTTGAGGTCTAGATCAGGAAGGCCTGAAGAAGTCAAGTTAGGTGCAGAAGAGCCGTCTTTTGAAGTTCACCATGAAAACAGTGCACGGGCACAGAGTGGCTGCAGCTATTGCTTGTGAGGATAAACGAGATAATGGATACTCATGTGCTAAATTGTGTCTTTTCCCCACAACCCCTGCCCCAAATCCACATGTTGAAGTCCTGACTCTCAGTGCCTCAGAATGTGACTGTACTTGGAGACAGCACCTTTGAAGAGGTAATTCAGATAAAATAAGGTCATATGAGTGGACCTTAATACAATATGACTGATATCCTTATAAGAAGAGGAGATCAGGACACAGTATGCACACTGAGGAGTGACCATGTGAGGACATAATGAGAGGAAACCATCTACAAGCCAAGGAGAGAGGCCTCACAAGAAACTAAACCTGACAGCACCTTCACCTTGGACGTCCACCCTCCAGAACTGTGGGAAAATAAATTTCTGTAGTGTAAGGCACCCTATTTGTGGTATTTTGTTATGGCAACCCTAGCAAACTAATACAGATTTGAAAGTATTGGTAATTTATGAAGTATTATACAAATGTTAGTTATTATTATGTGATTATGTTGCACTGGAATAATGTTATTATTCTAAAAATAAGAGTGAGGGAGGAAGACGTATCATGAAGGAGCTAGGGAGTGGAAAGCGACCTGGACACTAAAAAGGAATGTCGTTGAGTAAAAATGGATTGAATGCTAGGTGCTTGGTTGTACCAAGATGAGGAAACTATGCATTTTGACCCCTAGCAAATGTCAACATGATAAGGAAGATGCTGAAAGAAGCTCGGGGAGTGGGGGAAAGGCAATTACTTCTTGTTGGGTGTGATGAGTG